CTGCTGAACAAAAAATTTCACAGCTCTATTTAATGGCATCCCTTAATTTCTTTTCTGAGTGGTCACATACAAGATTGAACCTCATACCACTGACTCACACAACCTACTTTTCCCCTTAATTCACTTTAGAGTTATTCCATCATGTACATATACATTGCTTTTAATGTGGACAACGGATCTTGTTTATTCTTGAATTCTGATGTCCAGGACATTTTAATAGTTCTGTCATCTAAAAATATGTTTTTCTAAAAAAGAAAAGAGAGAGAGAGAGAGAGAGAGCGAGAGAGAGAGACACTAAGAAATTTCTTTATATTCCTAGTATAATACAGGTAAAGATTAGAGAAAAAATCAATTTGTTTTTTGTTTTAATGAACTTCCCTAAACTTATAAACACTATAGTTATTATTGCCCACACCACAGTCCCTATGAAAAAACCTTTAACCAAAAGGATTAATTAATCTTATTATTACATAGGCAAAAGTTAAAACTTACTGGTATGAAAAAATTAAAATATGTATGGGTATATGTAAAGAAAAACTGGAGGATATTATTGGTGGAGGATCTACACATTATATTTTGAAAAATACCAATTTAAATAAAAATTCATAAGTACTGTGTTAAGGACCACTTCATTTTGTACTTATATGTACAAAATACCAATTAATAAATGTTCAGAAGCTAACAAAAATAATTCAGCCAGATAACAGAAAACTGCCTCATTTTATAACATAAGTAAATTTACAGAGAAGGAATTATACAAAGGTTGATAGAAAATTCATCATTTGATCTCCCAAAAATATTCTTAAACTGTAAAATAAATTGTTAAATAAATAATATCTACTAAGGTAGGGGTGTCGAACTCAATAAGAGAAGGGGCCAAAATCTAAAATCCAGCCTAAATCGCGGGCCAAATGGTTTACTGAACAGTCATAAACTGTCATTGTGATGGAAACGCAGCGGAGTGCAGTGATGACAGCGCGGTGCGGGCCACATTGCAAGGCCTGGCGGGACGGATTTGGCCCGCGGGCCTTGTGTTTGACATATGTATACTAAGGTATCCATGCATTTACAAATGGCAATGCAGCTTCTTAACTCAAATAATTCATATGTATGTTTTTCTATCTTAATCTGGGAGGGTTGGATAAAACAAGAAACATGATACAGAAACTTGACAAATAAATTACCAACTAACGTTAGGAGCTGGATAACAGTTGGCACTCATAGCCATTCACTGGCTATGCTTTAAAAAAACAAAACAAAACATACATACACACACACACACACACACACACACACACACACAAGCAAGGCTTTCAAATCATTGAGAATTAAATATTTTATATATGCACTTGTGCCATACTCAAGCAATATCAGTCATATTCTGAATAGTAAAAATACATAGAGCTGAACAGTAAATAACCAAGATAAATTGTAAGCAAATGTATGAAATCTCGGCCTACCAGCATCTATATTTTGCAGACCAATTTTGTGAGTGGTTGCTGAGTTATGAACCCTCCATTTAATTCAAATATTTAAATAGGTACAAAGCATTTATAAAATGTTGCAGAAATGGCAATGCATTGAAATATCTCTACCACATAAGAAATTGATCAGTCCATGGTATAGATTCTGCTTCACAATCTGTGTTAAATGTGCCATATTTTATTTGCCTCTTTCTCTCAACTAATATTTTATTATATGCCAAGCACTGAATCATTATTTCCTAGCTAATTAACTTTAAGGTTACAGTTTAGAACTGAATTCCCCTTGAAGAACGTTGCCCAATAGTCAAAGACCAGGTTGGAAGTCATCTCATCTAGCAGGCTCTCCTATCTCCAAAGGAGATTCTCCTTCCTTATGTCCCTATCACACCAGCAAAACTCTCTCTGAATCACCATGTCTGAGCCAGGCAATGGGAATGGAGTCTCCAGTTAAAAGAAAGAGTTCGTTTCTAATGTGTTAGTTGAAAGTCATACATGGACTCAAGCATTTTTCGTGCAATAAACTTTTTAACAACATGGTGAAGCCTCTTTCAAAGACTAATATTTTTTAAAAGACAAAGTAAAATACTTAAAATATATGGTTTTAGTTCATATGTTAAAATATAAGCTTTACCATAATTTTGAACCATAAAAATATTTAGAGAATAACATAAAAAGAAATGTGCAATCAAGGCATAAAAAGAGATGAAGGAAGTGCATATTAGTAATAGAAGCCAATCTGAAATGGCTACCTACTGAAAGATCCAATATATGGCATTCTCCAAAAACCAAAAGTATGGAAACAGTGGGAAAATCAGTGGTTGTCGGGGTTCAAAGGAGGGAGGAATGAACAGACAGAGCAAAGGGGATTCTTAGGTGAGTAAGACTATACGGTGTAGTATTATACTGGTGGATACATGTCACTACATATTTGTCAAAACCCACAGAATATAAACTAAGAGTGAATCCAAATGTAAACTGGAACTCAGAGGCTAACTAGGTAAACAAATATTTAAAGAAATAATTACTATATGATCCATAAATGCAAAAGAAGTAGGTATAAATATAAAAATTTTAAATCTTACCATAAAAACACTAACTAGAAAGTTCAAAAAAATTCAAAGGCAAATGTAGATCAAAGTTATGAAATAATAGTTTTCTAGAATTAATTGCTAGACAATGACATTCTTTATGTTATATAATATGTTCTTATTATAAAAGAAAGCTATAGATAGGAAAAAATAAAGCTTCCAATGTCTGAAGCATTCTGACTAGGGTAATGTGAAATATACATTAATACAAAAGAGATCTGACATAACAGATGGCCTATCAAAATGAGTCATACTGGTTACTCCAAGTGAAGTACTATAAGGAACAGAACTTCCAGACTCTTTCTTCAAATTTAACTTAATTCCCACAACATTCAGAGCACTTCAATAAATCATTGTCTTCATTAATTAAATCAATCCTACCAATCAACAATCACTACAAAAATCTTCCTCTCTATCAAAAATGACTAATTAAGGTATTAGAAGAAAGATTATTCAAAGTACTCTATATTATCTGCTTACCATCATTCTTTATTTGAGAAGAAGGGGAAGATGGATCTTTACATCAAGTTTAACTAATAGGATCATTTCTGAAGAATAAGATAAAATGGCATTTTCTTCAGACACATCAACCAAAGAAATAAGATCTAAAAGGACTGTAAATTTATGAAGACTATTTCAGCTCTGAAAGCAAGAGAACAATTTTATTTATGAACAAAATATTTTAAAATTAATTCCACTGGAGTAGAATTCTGCCACTGGAAGTATTAAACCAATTCCTAACAATGAAAACTGGTAATTAAAGGGAAAGATTTAAGCATTTAATCTCTGCCTTTTACATATAGGATAACTGTGGTTCGTTACTGGTTGGTGAAAGGGGAGAAAAATGATAGAAGAATAGCAGATAATCAATGCAGAAAACACAATACAATCAGAAAAACCACCATTATAATATAGCCTTCAATGTAACAAAACTATTAAGTAAAAAGTTGTTTCAGAAATGAGGCCAAAAAACACTACAGACTACGTGCTAATCGCCACAAGAGAAACCTCTCTCCAATATGCAGACATTTGATGGGTCACTAACTTCTCTATATGATCAAACACAGTTACCATAAATTGCAAGACAACCTGATATTACTAGTATATTTCTCTTGTTGAGATGGAATAATGTAGACAGTAATACTTATGATGTTTTTTTTTTTTAAATCCTTAGCCTGAATGTTATTTAAAAGCCTCTTTAGAGAATAAGGAAAACATATTATAATGAAAAAAATATGACAAGTACAGAATTTGCATAAGATAACTGGTCTGGGCACTACAAAAAAGAAAAGGTGGAAGTTATAAGTTGGATTAAAAGGATGCAAAGAGACATGAAAAAATGCAAGAAGTGAAATTTAATTGGAACTTAGTTTGAAGTAGCTGGAGAATACACTTTTGAGACCACTGGGGATTTTTTATTTTTTTTTAATCCTCACCCAATGATATGTTTATTGTTTTTAGATTGGGAAAGGGAAAGGGGAAGAGAGAGAAAAAAGAAAAGAGAGGGAAACAGAGAGAGACAGAGACAGAGAGAGAAACATCAATGTGAGAGAGAAACATGCACTGGTTGCATCCCAAATGAGCCCCGACTGGGGGAGCCTCAGCCTTTTGGTATGTGAGATGACACTCCAATCAACTGAGCTACCCAGACAGGGAAATTTTAAATTTGGCTTGGATATTAGATAATATAGTATGTTAGTTTTCTGAACTAAATATAATTTTTGGCTATATAGAAAGGGGTCTTTATTCTTAGGAAATGCATTGTTCATTTGTGATGGGTGAAATTTATAATATGTGGAACTTTCATTCAAATGGTTCAGCAAAATACACATACATATATATAAAGTAAATTAAAATGTGAACACCTGTTTAATGAAGGTTGTGATATGTGGGTCATTATTATACTAACATTTATATATGTTCTTATGTTTGAAATTGTTTTATAATAAAAAGTTGGGGGGGAAACAAAAGACAATAGAGCATTCCACATTGCTTTAACATTACTCCTTACCACATGCTTTAAGAACCAGAAAAACAAAAGCACCACAAAAAAAGGGGGGGAAATATAAGTAAACTAGTTTATAAAATGTGACAATGAAATGACACTTGAAGTTACAAAGAAAATTCCATTCACATACATTAATATGTTGGCTGAAATACTGAAGTTCTTGGCTTAATTGTAATTGCAACTCAACAACACTGTTTACTGACTGCTGCTTTCACCACATTATTGTGAGTAAAGCTAATGTTTACAGGGTTTCTAAATTTTATAATAAATTCATTCATTCAATAACCAGTTACTGAAACTACTTGCTTTTGTTATGTACACTGGCACACTGAAGAAAAACGAGATTCGTGTTTCAGATATTCCATTTCTAAAAAAATCAATTGGAAAGCCCATGATATAAATGGGGGAAAACAAACATACCACTTATGTTAAAAGCCATACAGCACACTGGTTTTTCATGAGCCGGGAAGTGGGCCACAATACCATCACTGTCAGAATCCTCGCTCAGAAGCACCTTTACAAAAATAAAAAGGCAAAGGTTAATGGAAGTTAACCTTTAATCACTAATTACTGAGTTTGAAGATATACACAGTAATACCACAATGCCTGTAACCAAATATCATGCTTCTATTTTATTATAAAATTATTCTTGCCACTAAAAAGTGAAAATACCACTTCAGGAATGAGGAAGCGATATAATAAGACCCCAGCAGATCAATTATATAAACTCTAAACAGTTAGTTAACTTGACTATAGGTGACAGAGACAATCATTCCTAGAAGTGTAGGTTCACAAAACAACAGCAGCAGCAAATAAAATCAAATCAGCTATGTAGAGCTTTATCCAATGACAGGAACATATAGCTCTTATGGCCTGCTGAAAAATTCTTGCCCATGATTGGAATAAAACAAGGAAAAACAACATAATAGCTTAAACACAATGTGGTGTTTTTTGTGTGTGTGTGTTTCCACCCCCCCCCCCCCAACCCCTCAAAACAATTACTCATAAAATTTTTAAGTAGAAAAGTACTGGTCTTTTAATCTGTAGTTCATAAAATCAGTATATTAAAGCAGATAGCTTTAAATCTCAAATTTGTTCCCCTTAATTTTCTTCAGGAGTTTAATAGTTTTAGGTATCATGGTTAGGTCTACGATGGATTTAAGTTCATTTTTGTATATGGTGTAAGGTAAGAGGCCGCCTTCTTTCTTTTGTAGTTAATCATCCAATTTTCCCAGTGTCATTTATTGTGTAGTTTGGGAACCCTTACTGAAAATCTTTTGCACTTGTATGTACGGGTGTATTTCTGTGCTCTTCTATTCTACATATCTACATATCTATCCTTATGCCACGTATTGCTGTATAGTATGTTTTGAAATAATGAAATGTGAGGACTCCAATCATGTTCTTTTTTCAAGATTGTTTTTGCTTTTCTGGGTCTCTTAAGATCCGTAAGAATTTTAGGGTGGGATTTTGATAGAACTGCATTTAATATGTATATCACTTTGGGTGGTATGGATATTTTAACAACATTACATTTTAAAATCCACATGTGTGAGATGTTTTTCCACTTGTATCATCTTGGAATTCTCTTAACTATGTTTTACAGTTTTCGGTATACAAGTCTTTCACCCTCTTGTTTTAAGTTTATTGCTAATAGTTTGTTTTTTTAAACCAACAACATTGGCAAACCTTCAATTGGACTAATAAAAAATTAAGTTAATATTACACTGTTGCATACTATGATTTCTTATATAACATTCTAGTAGAGAACTATTACTGCTTTTCAGGAGAAAGGGATAGAGGTTGATTGAAGGATGGGCTTGAATACAAAAAAAAAAGTGTGTGTTAAACTATCTAGTATCTTAATTGTGGTGGATTATGTTAATTATATTCATCTAGACATGAGATACAATTTGATAGAGCTATATATATCCACATACAAATACAAATGAATGCAGGTAAAACTAATGCTGAGAGGTGAATACAGTCTAAAGCTTAGTAACAGTGATATGCCATTGTCAATTTCCTGGTTTTTATATTGTTCTACACCTGGAAGAATCTGGATGAGAGCACATGGACAAATGTTCAACGTACTATGTGTTTAAAATTATTTCAAAATTAAAATGCTAGCTGCAAGCTTTTGGATTTCTCTCTGTCTAGTATGTTATAGATAGTATCTCACTGTATTACCAACACCTCTGTGACAAGTGAAGTCATGGCCATAGATTTTATAACATTTGAATATATTTTTTCTATGATATATTTGGTTTTTGCATATTTTCCTATTTTAACTCAATCTTACAAGACTCCCTTTCTTTTTATATATGATATAATCCTTTACCTCTCCTTCCAACACAATTAGTATTGCATGCTAGAGTCTAGTTGATGGTACTAATACAGAAGTCATCAAGCAAAAGGCACATTAATCTTGGAGCACAGCAAAGCCTCATACCACTACATAGGATTCTTTGAATCTTGTTTTTAAGAGCTTCACAAATCTAATAACAAGATACTTTTGGAAGGATTCTCTCCCATTGCATTAGCACCTTGACTAAAGTCAATAAAACTGGAGATATCCCCATACAATTGTCTTAAGACATTTAATTTTTACTCACCACTTAACTAAACAGGCTGAAGCCCTAAATATATGCAGTAAAGCAATGACTATATTAAAACAAAGCAATGCGCCGAGACTGGTTTGGCTCAATGGATAGAGCGTCGGCTTGGGGACTGAAGGGTCCCGGGTTCGATTCCGGTCAAGGGCATGTACGTTGGTTGCAGGCATATCCCTAGTAGGGGGTGTGCAAGAGGCAGCTGATCGATGACTCTCTCTCATCGATGTTTCTGACTCTCTATCTCTCTCCCTTCCTCTCTGTACAAAATCAATAAAATATATATTAAAAAAAACAAAAAAAAAAAAAAAAAAAAAAAAAAAACAAAGCAATGCATTTTAACTGATACAAAGTAAATAAGCCTTTATCATATGAACAAAAAGATACACCAAACACCTAAGGAACCATTAAATTATTATGAATAACACATGTACTCAAGGCAAGATAGCTCAAATTTATGTCATCATTCTGGAGTATTTTTTTATTAGAGACTTTGCCACATTGCTAATTCCAATTACATAAATGTATAAATGCAAATTATACAACTTATCTTAGGCAAGAAATGCTTTTAAATAAAAATGAAAGTAACACAGATAAAAATGTACATGAAGTCAATGAAATTCTTTCTTCATTAATGCAGTTACTACACAATGATCCCAACATCATAAAATCAAACTAATCAATTTAGTATTAGAAATATGGTGAATAAAATTTTATACACCACCAATGTAAACATGAAATTATCTTTATTAAAGGCTCAATGGATTTAAAAAGTGAACCTAATGTTAGCTTGAGCTCCTACGATGTATATAAAAAAGCAGAAACATTAAGGAGAAGGTCAAACATCAGTAGGAAAGGGCTAAAATTGATAAATCTATGACATTAACCACTGCAGTGTTCTTATTTAAATACAATCCAGAATAACCTAAAAACAGCCCTGTACTCCAACTGAACTATTTATCAGAGACAAAAATGTCTTCATGACAAAAAACAGATTCCCATTAATAAAAGAAGGGAGGAGGACAGTATTACACTGACAAAATCTTGTTGCTTTAAAAAAATATTTATAATTTTTTTAAATGCATATAGCAACTAACCATTTATTGAACATAAATTTATTTCCTATCTTAAAATATTTAAGTCATTAAAATTTTAGAATATTTTATAAAAAGGAATGAAAATAAGATTATACTTCAAACAAATAATAGAAAATAGAATGTTTCAGTTGAATGTCACTAACCTAAAAGCTATATGAGTCTTATTTTTTAATAAACAGCTTTAGTTGTTTCAAGTGTTAAAATGAATTTATCACAGAAAAAATAACTTTTGCAAATCAACAATCTACAGTTAGTTTCCATGTTTCAAACCTGAGAATTCCATTTTAAAATTATCAAAAGTTACTGAAGAATGGGAGGGGGTGGGAGAGGAGGTATGATGAAAAACATTTGAAAACATATGGCCTATTGTTATGAAATCAGCTTAGTTTTTCTTTTAACATATTCCTACACTTACAAATAATAAAGTAATGACTTACATCTCTATTTCATTAGAGATAATAAGACATAACATTTCCTACTTATAAATGAGCACAAATCTGTCTGTCAACAAAGGCTGGATATTTAACAGACGAACATTACACTCCCCAAACTAGACAATGCTGAGAAGGGTGGTTATTACTCTCAGTAATTGTGGGTGGCCTTGGTGAATTAATTAAGAATCAAAGACAAAAGAAAATAACTTTTCTTTTAACACTTACGAAACATTAAAGGATTCATATATTTAATCCCAATTTTAAAAGAGAACATGTGTATGTGTCCATCAACTTGAACCTATCTAACTAAAACAGCTTTTTTTTAACATATCATTACAGTCAACTGAAAACTTTGCTAACATTTCATTGAAAAGAGTTTTAAACAAGAATATAAGTCTAGCCCTAACCGGTTTGGCTCAGGAGATAGAGTGTGAACCTGCGGACCAAAAGGTCCCAGGTTCGATCCCAGTCAAGGTACCTTGGTTGTGGGCACAGCCCCAGTACGGGGCATACAGTAGGCAGCCGATCGATGTTTCTTTCTTATCGAAGTTTCTAACTCTCTACCCCTCTCCCTTCTTCTCTGTAAAAAAAATCAATAAAATATATATATATTTTTTAAAAGAATAGAAGTTTATAACATAGTTGGTTATCAACAAAGTAAGGATGGGCAGGGTGGAGAATTATTATTATTCTGATTTCAAGTAAAATACAGTAAATAAATTCAATAACCAGAAATTTCAAAAAGATTTTTTTTAATTGCCAATAGGTTCCACTTTCTTAAAATAACAATTGCTCTTATTATAGAAACTAGTACATGAATAGCTGACAAATGCAATCTTTCACAAATGTTGCTCTAGGTCTCATTTTAGAAATAGGTATTAGATTATATTTTATAGTAATGTTCACAAACTAACAGCATTTTAATATTACTTCCTTTAAGAAATGTATTTCAAATATAAAACTATGACACAAAGGAAGAATTATTTGTAAGTACATGAGGGGAAAAACTAAACCAAATGGGTTTCTTATCAACTAAGCATTTTTCCAGGTTTAAATCATTTCTCCTGTTTCTGAACTTAGATTTTAAAAATCTGTTTTAACTGAAGATAGTTAGCTATTATCATGTATGAATTCTAGCATATACTTTGGGGTTTCATGTATTAGGTCTAGTAATAATTAATGTCGTTTTCTAATACTTTTTTTAAATCGAATTTATTTAAACAATACAACAAAATTTAATCAACAATATAGTTGCCGTTGTTTTCTACTACTTGTGCCCAATGCTCAGGAAGCATTTTAATCCCTCTGTTGTAAAATTCTTGTGATTTTGATGCAAAAAATTCGGTCAATGCATTTTTGAGGCATTCTTCATTATTAAATTTTTTTCCAAGAAGAAAGTTTTGCAAAGAACGAAACAAATGGTAATCGGAAGGGGCAATATCAGGAGAATATGCAGGTTGAGGGAGAACTTCCCATTCCAACTGGCGCAGTTTTTCAGCAGTGATTCTTGCAGTATGCGGTCGTGCGTTATCGTGGTGAAGAATTACACCCTTCCGATTAATCAGCGCGGGTTCTTTTTCTCTTAAAGCTTGGGCTAACCTTTCCAATTGGGCACTATACACTGCACTTGTAATGGTTTGGTTAGATGGTAAAAGTTCATAATGAAGAATTCCTTTAAAATTCCACCAAACACACAACATCACTTTTTCCGCATGCAAGTCAGGTTTTGGCGTGGGCTGCGGAGCCTCATTTTTGTCCAACCATTGAGGCCGCCTTTTCAAATTAACATACAGCACCCATTCTTCATTTCCGGTAACAATTTGCTCTAAAAACGGCAAACGGTTTTGACGAGAGAGGAGCGAACTGCAAATTGTGACTCTTTGATTACGGTTGTTGTCGGTCAACTCATGAGGATCCCATTTTCCAAACTTTTGGACTTTGCCAAGTGCACGCAATTGATTGGAAATTGTTTTTTGTGAACAATTTAAAGTTGTCGCAAGCTCTTGTTGGGTAATTTGAGGATTTTGCACCAAAAGAGCTTGAAGAGCTTCTTGATCAAAATTGAACACACGGCCTCGACCACTCTTGTCATCTAACGAAAAATTTCCCTCGCGAAATTTCTCAAACCAACGCTGGCATTTTCTGGCGCTAACTGCATCTTGACCAAGAGCACTACAGATGTTTTTTGCAGCCTCACTTGCTTTTCTTCCTAATTGGAACTCGTAAAGCATGCAGTGCCGAATATGCTCTTCATCCGCAATCTTCTTAGCCCTAGTTTTGCAACAAAAACCAAACCAAACACAAACTTTTTCAAGCAAAACTTGTTAATTGCACTTCACACGTTCTGTAGATACCACGTGTTTGAAGGTTATGTCAATACAAGTCAACCCCAAGCAAGATTTTAAACGAATGTTTAAAAACGACATTAATTATTACTAGACCCGATATTTTCATATTTATAAGGAACTATCTATAATAAAATTTTATAGTATTCATCTGTAACCATCACAGGCAATCGTTTTTTTAAATTACCCCTAAGATCCTGTTGATCTATGAGCAAATATCTGCCTGGGAAACACATGTCCTAATGGAACCTCAATTTTACCTTCAGGTTTAATGGATTTATAAAATTTGAAATAAAAGGTTCTAACATATTCCTCATCATTTTGAGGGGAGGAGTGGGAAGAATCTAACCAAAAATAACCTTGATTTCTAGAAATCCAGATTAACAATCTGATCCCAAAGAACACCCTCATTCAGCCAGCCCTCTGCAGAAAACGGATGACACGCATCGCAAGTTCGTACCTGGCCTTCTCCAACTGTTTCTGTGTCTATTACGGTGATGATGCCTGGGACCAAAGGACTCCGCCTCGAATTACTGTGCATGGCAACATCATCCTCCGTCACACCTGAAGGCAGCGTGCCTGTCAGCTGAGTCACCACTTTCCCAACCATCGTCAGGCCGGTTTTCAAAGTCTGTACAATGAAAGGTAAAAATTTATAAATGACTTCCTATCAGTGTATGAATTCTTTGTAGAACTATGCATTTGTTAGTTTCCTACCCATTACGTTCTTTTTTTTTTCTGACGAGCCTATAAGTAGCAGCGAACATCACAGAAATTCAGTCTGACTTTTCGTGTGACTGTGAATTCGGCGACAGTTTGAGGGAATGCTATCGGTACAGCCCCAAAGTAATCATGGTGAGAATAAAGCCATCAGTAAATATCTAAAAAAAAGCTTTGTCTCACATGAGGATACAATTATATTTTATAAAAATTACGTTCCCCTCTTCTTAATGTATATAATTTAAGACATGTGACATAGTAGAAGTAGGATAATATTCTACTTCTTCAGATAGTGTAAATTTAAATTTAAAACTATTTTTTAGCATGAAAGGGACTGGGATGATCTGGTAGAATTCCTGTGAAAAAAGATCATGCTTCCAAAGATAATTTATAAGATGCTGTTATATAAGATTGTACATCAGGTTCTGACATGTGAAAAATACAGTCTCCAACCAACATACTAATTACTAGATGAATGAAATATCATATAAAATTAGGAAAGAAGATTCTTTTTTCTCTGATAACAGAAAACAATTCAATATAATGCTTCTAAAATGCAATTTTAATTAAAAATAACTTAAGCTGCTTTGTAATTACATTTTACTTCCACTTCATTCAAAGTAAATAGACAAAAGTAATGTGTGTGATTATTTTTTATTTTATGGGAATCTGATCTAATTAGTCACATATGCATTAGCAAGCAATAAGGTTAAGGTAATGTTTGGGGGCATTGTCTAAAAGGAAGAAAGCTAGAGCATAAAGAAAATTGTGTTTGATAAACATTGGAAAAATACCTAGTCATTAGAGACTAAATAAGTAATCTAGATTAAAGGAAGGGATAGATCAAAAATTACATATTATACACTCAACCAGAAATATTTCTCCAATTCTCACATTGTGAGAAAAGTTTTTATTAGAATAATTCAAATTAATTTTTAGTCAGGTGACTCTTTTAAAAATAATTGTGGGAAATAAATGTGGATTTAAACCCCAATTAGATTAAGTTTCAAAAGGAAATGTATTTTCCAAAGAAATTTTCCGTTAAAACACCACAGGATTAATATTAGTAATTTATGCATTATTTTACTCTAGTTATGTTCTATGGAACCTTTACTATGAGTGTGGGATTGGTTAAGGCTCTAAACATAAGTGATCTCTATAGATATCCTCAAACAACTCAGTTTAAGAGAAAACTGAGGCTACAGAAATTAAGCACACCTAGCCAATGACAAAGCCAGAATTTAAAACTAGGGTTATCTATCTCCAAAGCTTGAATTTAACTGCTCTCCAGTATTTCCTTATAAGCTATCCCTGTTACTACTTGTGATCTCACACTTCATGACACACACATATTCTGGGGAGGAGGGAGAGAGGAAGACTATAACACTGTATTTTAATAAATACTTAAATAAATGACCACCAAAGCCATTTGCTAAATTCAAACAAAAAGATATAACTTACAGCTGATTGAAACCAGAAGAAAAAAAAAGCCACAAATCAATTGTAACTGTTTTGTTTAGTGCTAAAAACTCAAACTGCAGTGATTATAAAACACAGTAGCGTTCCTCAATTAGCAGCCAAACATTTGTTTCAATAATTCACAAGAAATGACTTACAAAGAGTCTGTTAGGTTGTTGTTAAGAAAGCCTCTGAAGGACCAACAAAATCAGGCGCCACGGAGTATTGATGTCAGAAGCTCGCCAGGAAGCCTTATTAACCTCTGAGATGCTTCCGCTGATGTACTGACTCCATTAATGCTAATGGAGATGCTCCCACTTACACGGAGCTACTGCCCCTTTATCAAAGACAGCCTTACAGGTTTAAAGTCTTCGCTTGTACATCCTCCCCATGTGCCCTTGGGCCTATTTTTTTCATGCTCTTATACCAATGAATAGGAACAAACTAAAACAACTGGAGCACACAGAAAGTGGGAAATAAGTACCAAAGCAAACCACAAGTTAAACAGGAAAGTTCACATAAAAGAATTGGGAAAAAACTCAGGGATGGGGGGACCAGGGTGGTATATTTCTTAGGCAAGGGCTCATATTACATGAAGAGTTACAGATATTTCTCATTAAAAAAATAAAATAAAATAAGTAATGACTACCAGTGGGGCCATGTTATTAAAACTTAACGGTCATCAAATCTGCACTTTGTATAGTAAATGACAAGACAGTATTGTCTATCATAGCTTACTAACTTCCAAATAAGGTCTAGTGCAGGAGGTGAGAGAGGGGTGCTAGACGTTTTCTACATTAGTATAGACCTTTGCTTCTAGAAGAAATTTGTTTCCGTGTCACATCAATTAGTAGTGTCCAGAAGCTATATAATGTTATTTAATAATTTTCATATGTCATGTTTAGATACCTAAATCACCACACTGTGTAATTAGGCTTTTCACTAGATTTTAGTAGAAAGGTTAAGTGCATGCCTGATGATTTCCTCAAATACATACAAAAGCTAAGGAAAAAAATTAGGAATTAAAAAAACACACCTAACTAGTCCAAATGGATATGTTAATTTAGATAGCGTGTCCTCACAATCTGGGGTATCTAAACTCAAAAGTTCATTGTATATTCAAATAATTTTAAGGGTACTCAAAGAACTATCTGTTTAAAAAAATCATAAATTTATAATGAATGTGAAATAATCCATTATGACCAAAAATTCGAATCAGCATAGTACTTATTCTGTTCTGTTGCAGACAGATTTGTCAAAGGGTCACTAGGCATCTTTAACCTTTCTTGTGCCATATCAGTTGTCCTCCTCATCCATTAGTGCTAATGGTACTGCTCTCACAAAACCTGTTAGTTGTCATTAAGAAGTTATCAGATAACGAGAAAATAGAGGCATTTTTATTAAATCAATTTATCATACTGGGGTTAAAACACATTAAAAGGAAAACTCAACTAAGACAATTACAGCGTAACTAGAAATTGTGGAACAAGATTTTATAAATTTATCAAAATAATCCAATTTAAACAATTTCAAAATTGAGTTTTTCCTTTATCACCACCACAGAGAATTTATCGCTATCATATTCTTAAGACAAATAAATTTGTTCAAATTCAAAGGGAAAAATCTAAAACTATAAACTTCAATTTTAAATGCTATTTTGAAAACCCAGAAATTATTTTAAAAAAATAAAATAAAAAATAAAAAAGGAAAAGAAAGGAAAGAAAAGAAAGTATTGCTGCATAAGAGATCCAAATACATATACAATTAATATATTTACACTTATCATTGTACAGTGAAAAAAAGAGTAAAAATTAATCCTTCTAAGGTTAAGTACCCTCTATAAATCCAAATCAGAAACTGTCGAAGAAAGAGAAATATTAATCTTTTTGAGAAAGTGATATAATGAAATGATTGTGAATTTATTTTTAAGATAAACATCTTCTTAAAGAGCATGTACTACATGGCTTATAAAATTATTTTTATGTCACATCTCAAAAAATATTAATTACATAGAAATTTAAAAAAAACTGGTAAGAAATAAGAAATTGTATTTTCTATTTTCAATGATAGACTAGGTAAATCAAATTAATCCTCCCCCAAAGAAAACAAGTAGGAAAAATTGGGGTGGGGGGATTTTTTTTTCAACTCTGCTTGAACATATGGAATATTTAATAAGAACGTGAAGAGTTCTTAAGTCAAAATCCAAGAGAACAAGGAAATATTTTAGACCTAGCTGCATTTGATGATTCCAGGGAGGGCTGCTAAGAGACTGAGTGGTGTTTTCGGTAGAGCTGGGGAACGAGGTGGCCATGTTCAAGGGATCAGTTGGTTGACCTTCCCTCCATGCTTTGGGTGGGAACCCAAGGGGTAAAGAATGGATAGAAGAGGGAACCAATAGTAATCATGTTATCAGAGCTATTTCAGGTAAACATTATTTAAAACATTTAATTTCAATCCCTAAAATTGGATTAAAATGACCCAAGACTGACAGTGTTGCAAAACTCTGGTACCTTCTCAAATTTTAAAGTGTTTCTAAAGATTTTTGAAATAAAGTCTGGCAAACCATGAGTCAAAACATTATAAATAAGGACCAGCTGAAATGAACAAACAAAAATTCACCGAAAACGAAACCACATATTGGAGTTATCAGAAACATAATTAAAAATAGGGTGTTTAAACAAGTTGGTAATTTGGTCTGGAAAAAGAGTTCTAGAGAATCAGAAATAATCACTATCCACTAAAATATTTCATCAATGCATATATGTTTTTATGTATATATTGAAATAACCATTCCCTTTTCCCCTCTAAATTGTGTGTGATGCCAGTTGGGGGATCACATTGTAAAATATATAAGTGTCTATCTAATATTAACCCAAAACTAATACAAATTCACATAAAATATAAACTGTAATTTAAAAAAATTATGTAATTAAAAATATTTTAAAAGAAATGTGTAAATTTTAAAATAAATTATATTCATAGTTATATTTTTCCTTCATTTCATAAATTTATAAATAATACAAATAAGCATTACAAACAGACAAATGCAATTAACAAAAATTAAATATTACCACTTTATTCAAGTGCTACTGGAAGAATAATATACATTGCCAGAGATGACAATGAATGTCAATTAACACTACTTTCATTGGTGACCAATGATCTATTGGGAATTGACTGGAGGGTGTGATTATCAACGTAATTTCTTACAGTAAAACGTGGAAGACCTGAGTATATTTTTCACAGTTTGCAATATTGGAGTGTAACAAGTAGGAAGTTCGAGCTTGTTCTTTTCAAAGCATATTTAGTCTAGTCTCATCCCTGCATGTCCACTTTCAGCTAACAGTTAAACAGCTTACCAGTTACTGAATAAAGGAAGTCACTTTCCTTTTATAAGGCACCCAAAAACATAATTATAGCAAAGAAGAGCTGAAAAAATGTCCTACATCACATAACTGAAAATTATTCTACATGATAACACAATGAGCTATCCTGAGGCAAGTGTATGATAGGTCAGTCTAAAAAGAATCGAATATTTGAGAAATGGATCTCTTGTAAATTAACTGAGTAACACTGATGCTACCTAATTACTCTGTCTGAGACTTCCCTTCCTTGAAAGAACCACGATAATTCTGGCATAGACAATAAAGACATGTAAGCAATTTTTTAAATAAAGATTCTGACATCTAAAATATAGAGTGCTGTCAGCATAAAAACATGCTAAAACACATCATGTAAGCACTTGTGATCAATCTTGAAGTATTTTTGTATGTTTCACACGAAAACAGTGTGACCTTTGATTGCCTCCCTGTGGTTTGCTTTAAACTGTTATTCTCTTCTGAATCGTTGTGCTTTTTATTACATGCTGTCATTTAGAATCACTATATCACCCCCTATTATTAGAATTGTTTTGTTGTATACTTCAGAATTCAAAAGGATAGTGATTATAAAAATACCTTATAATCAGCATAAAGTTTACAAGCCATCGTCAAAATTAACCCAAGCACACAGACAGAAAGAAGTCATGTGACAAACATGCAAAGGGCAGCCTGTGACTAAAGGAATCTTAGAATGTGCCAGGGATCTTACTCAGGTTTTCTTAAGGAATACTCCTTTCTTATGCCAACTAAAGATTCTAAGTGTTAAAAGACGCAAAGGGATGTCAGTATAGGTAGAATAATGCTAATCATGCATAAAGAATCCAGAAGTCACTACTTAGGACATGTACAGCTTCTTTCAAAAGTGGGATTAATTACATAACAGACTTTACTCTAGCTAACAGACTTACATATTTAGTACTGAATAACTATAAACCCTATAATCATCACAATAGAAAATAGAGTTTTACTTATGAACTTTAAGAAATTAGATACCTAATCACTGAGCCACCAATTCTCATGAGACACGAAGTAAGTCTGACTTACTCCTTAAGGTTATTACTTTTGTGGATGAAAAGGGAAGAGATAATCTCAATCAAACTCAGTGGAGAAACTTGACAATTACTCCAAATAATCACAACTCCCAGAGACTACTGGATACTCACTTTAGCAGCACTAATGACCGTGGCAGTATAAGACTGAATGTTGTCCCCACAGGCTCCACCACGGGACTGATGACATCGAATCAACTGGAAAAAGAGAGACAGAGAGAAACCAGAAAGTCATTTCTATTAAACTGTTTAACTCTACAGGCTATTAGGACAGAGCTTATTTACCATGCATAATGATGGTGGTGGGTGGAAATGTTTGTACAACTGTATTTCATACAAACAGCCAAAAGCCCTGCTCAGACACTTTTAGCCCTTTTTATAATCTACTGGTGCCATTCAGGCCGTTTCATGCTCAAATGCAATTTTTAATTACAAGATGAATAGTCTTTAAGAATTCATAAACTCTGAAATGGAGGAATTTGGGATCTGGCAGCCTTTCCACAAATAAAATTTAAAAACATAATCAAAGGACTTAGACATGACTTCCTAACATTAAATATTTAACATGCTAGCAAATTAGAGGTTTTGTCCTCTTAATTCCTACATAAAGATTGTAAAAGGAAACCTAAAAAAAATAGACAAAAGATTGTGCCATATTTTCATTTTCAACTGTGTCAGGGTAAAAGTGGCATAAATTATGCATAAATCAACTATGACACATATATTAGCTATCCACTTCAGAGGGCTTACTAGTTCTACATTAGAATGAAAAAGATAGGCCCTTATTCATGTCTGATGTAAATATATTAACCTGCCAATTTTCAGAGTGAATCACTATTTTGACAAACAAGATTCTCTCATGCGCAGAGCAACAAACTGGTATTAAATTCTCCACTGCTCCTACATTTCCTAAATTTGGAGGATGGGGGCTAGGGGAACATATATATTTATACATTATCATTAGCCAAATCCTTACTACATTTGTAATGTAAATAACAATAGAGTGTTAGAACGGCTCCATGTTGTGATATGAATTATTCTGTTTCAATTGCAGGGAGAGAGACAGGACAATTGTTGGGTGTCTAACTAAAACCAAAACCAAATCAAAGAAAACAAACTAAAAAGTTAGAGTCATCATTGGTTGGTAATCACTTCGGAAATTTTGGGAACGAGTGGTCCATTACCAATAATCTAAGGGCCCTGCCTTACCTTGTTTTCTGCATAAGCCAGCCAGCGGCTCCCAAGAGCAATAGGATTCATGTTAGGCCCTGGACAAGGATAGCAGCCTGGAAAATTTCAAATGGCAATATTTAGAAATTTCTTAATAAATTTTCTGTTGATGTACCATATTTTGATGCCATTAAAACATAACAAATGCTTTTTATTTTTCAAGTTTCACATAAAATTACCATAATAGTAGTCATTAGTCTAATAGCTAAATGAGGTTTTTTTTATTTTTTCCTCTGCAGTTCCCCTTTGATTTTTTACTTTATTCAAATAAGAAACAAATCTGGTAATCACTATTTGCAAAATATTAAGCATTTTATACAGTTATTACAAGAACAAGAGGGAGAAGCTAAGGCAAAACATTTAAAGTTTGTAAGTCTACAACTTCATAAGTCAAGTAACAAATGTTTGAAGAAGCCAGCTGGTTCAAGAATACATACACCTAAAAGGAAGATATAATGTACAATTGGGGGGGTTGGGGGAGAGAGAGAGAGAGAGAGAGAGAGAGAGAGAGAGAGAGAGAGAGAGAGAGAGAGGGAGGGAGGGAGGGATGGAGGGAGGGAGAGAGGGAGGGAGGGAGAGGGAGAGAACCACTTAAGTATGAGGCCAAAGAGAAGAAATCCACAAAGAAATCCTCATTAGTAAAATGTTGGGGAACTATTGTATTTACATAATCCAGTCCAGCCAATAAAAAATGATAAAAAGGATTATTTTGAGGTTCTCTCCTTTCAAAAAGAATAAATCAATTATTCCAGATAGTGGATACCATCTATGCATAGAAATACCAATGATCTCTACTAACCAAAACACAAAATTTAGTTAAGTATGTGATGTCTGTAACTACCAATCTGTACTTCTCAATCCTTTCACCTTTTTCACTCAATCACCCAACCCTTTTCCCCCTTTGAAAACCATCAATTCTGCACACTGTATCTATGAGTCTGTTTCAGTTTTTCACAGAAATGCTTCAGAGAGACTCGTGGAAAGACTGAAGAATGAAAGAATGCAAAACACCTAACCTAAAGGACTCCTGGTTTATCATTCCAAAAGTATCTGGTTAATATTTTCACAAATGTTTTCTTCTAAATGTACACTAGAGAATCATGTTAAGGTTATCTATTTCATAGTTTTAGTCTCAATTTGGAATCTAAATTTTTGCAATCAGGAGACAAACAAAATTTTTTTAAAATAACCTTTCCTTCCCATGGCAAAAATAAATAAAATATAGTATCAAAAAATAGCCTTTCTAATTTTCAAATTGCACTGCTCACGTACACACTACGTAGCAGAAAGTCCCAATCTATATTGATCCTAAAAGACATAGAGTAATCAATGCATGACATTTCATTCAAAAGCATACTTTTTTTTAATGAAAGATAAATAATTAGAGAGTTTTTTTTATTGATTTTTCACAGAGAGGAAGAGAGAGGGATAGAGAGTTAGAAACATCAATGAGAGAGAATCATCGATCAGCTGCCTCTTGCACACCCCCCACTGGGGATGTGCCCACAATCAAGGTACATGCCCTTGCCCGGAATAGAACCCGGGACTCTTCAGTCCGCAGGCCGACGCTCTATCCACTGAGCCAAACCGGTCCTGGCTCAAAAGCATACATCTTAATAAAAAAAATTAATAAATTAAAGCATATTTATTAGGTAATGGCCAAAAAAGTCATCTATATAGAAAACTTTTTCAAACATTCAAATAGTGGTCTCAGCTAAGAGCCAGATATTTTAAAGCCATTTCTGATGGAGATCTTTTTATAAATGTATATTCCATGGTTCCCTGAATGCAGAGAGCCTTGTGAGAAGCAATAGTCATCATTTTGAAAGGTGGTTGTTGCTGTGTTCACAAACACTGGAGAAATTCACATTGATTTGCTTCCATTATACCTAGTTTTCATTTCACCTCCTTCAACTACCATCTATCTTGTGATTTCATTGTTAAAGAAGATTTAAAAATTTATTTTTGCTATATCTACTACTTAATGTTGATTATGGCTAAATATTATGGGGTGAAAACAAAGGAGAAAGGCCCTTAAAATAGTACAAAAGAAAACACTCTAGCAAACAGTATGCATCACTTAGTTAAAAGATTTCATTTATATACTCATACTGAGTAAACTAGTCCTATTCATACAAAAATGAGCTTTTATATATATGCATACATATATTCCACCGGCATTTTTAGAGCTAGAGAAATGAGTATAGGTACGGTGCATAAGAAAGTTTCCCCCTGTTCAATGTCATTAAATAAATAAGAATATTGAATTGTGGCATTACATAAGAGGTAGCTAATCTCCTGAAATTTAAAGTCAACAAAATCTAACTCTCAATTCTAATAACCATTATGCTTCACTAGATCCTAATAAGTATATATTCTCATTTCTAAAACAAAAGCATACAACGGAAAAGTACAGTTAACAATTCATTTTACTTTTAGAGTCAATGTTTTTAGAAACTCAGTGGACCTCAAGAGTTACAGTGTATTGGGATAAAAGCAAATTGTTTTTCTGCTCTTCAAAAACATTTTACAGCTGGAATCAGCAGAACATCAGCCACTCAGCACTATCCCAACTTTATAAGCATGACTTCTTTAAAGATTAACTGTTGCCTCCAGCTAAACTTTGAAAACAAGTGAAGAGGGGGAAAACCAACCTGCTATCATATTAGCACTAATTCTAACAAGTTTCCAATGTTTGTGAACAAAGTAAAAAAGAACCAGGTATTTAAAAACTTGGGTTTCTGAATTTAAGTAAAGATAAAAGTCAAGAAAAGCGCAATAAATGAAGATTCTTCCAATACTGGAATAATAAAAAAGGCACAAGACATACAATTTAGAGGGCACCCTCCCAGAAGTGTGATCCTAATGGAGAGTTCACCTGAACCTGTCACACTCTACCTTATTTTTCTTGGTAAGAATAACTCAAAAGAGTCCAGACCTCTGTGGGGACAGGGAGAACCCAATGTTTGCATTTATGGTCAAATGATTCTCAACAAAGATACAAGGGCAAGTCAATGAGGAAAAGAATACTTTTTCAACAAATGATGGGTCGCCTAGAAATCCACATGCAAAAGAATTAAACGGAACCTTGACCTCACACAGCATACAAAAATTAACTGTACATATTTTAACATTGCCCCCCTCCTCCCATACACAGATAATAATTTAATAGAAAAAATAGAAAAAAATTAACTGTAAATGAATCAAAGACATATAAGAACATATATGCATAAATCACAGACACAGACCACAGTGTGGTGATCACCAGAGAAGAGGGGAGGTGTGGGCTGGGTGGAGGTGGGCAAAAGGGGTGGGGTGGGGACATCTGTATTCCTGTCAACAATAAAAATGTAAGTTAAAAAATGAAAAAGCTAAAAGTATTAACCTCGTGTAACAAAATATAGTGGTAAATCTTCACATTAGGTTAGGCAATGTTTTCTTAGATATAAAACCAAAAATAAGCGATAAAAAAAATGGATAAGTCGGACTTCATTAAAACTAAAACTTTTATCTCCCCCTAGATCAACCGAAGGACTTGTATACATGCATATAAGTACAACCAATGGACATAAAACTGTGGGGAGGGAGGGGATATGGGGGAAGGAGGGAGGGGGGGCAAAAAAAATCATTAAAATATGTAAAAAATAAATTAATTAATTAATTTAAAAAAAAACTAAAACTTTTGTGCCTCAAAGGACACTACAAAGAAAGAGAAAAGACAAAACTCACAGAATTGGAGTTTTGCAAAAACATGTACCTGAGAACTGACTACATCTAGAATATAAACAGAACTATGTCAATGCAGAAAATACAACTCAATATAAAATTTAACAAAGAAGATAAAAGATGGGAAATGCAAATTAAAAATAGAGTCAAATACCACTTCGTGAGACCCTCATAGAATGGCTATAATCAAAGAATGAGGAGAAAATGGACCCTGAGACACTGCTGGTGGTGATGTAAAATGTTGCAATCACTCTGCCTGGAAGCTCTTCAAATAGAGAAGGATAGAATTACCATATGACCAAGCAATTTGATTCCTAGATACATTCCCAAGAGAAATGAAAATGCATGTCCACACAAATATTTATATCCAAAAGAAATGAAAAAATACTTCCCAAGAAAAACCTTTTACTAAAAAAAAAGCATTATTCATAATAGCCCAAAAATGGAAACTTAAAGGTCCATCAATTGAGAGACAAAATGTGTTATTACACACACTATTATTCAGCAATAAAAAAGAAATTAAGAATAACATTCCATCATCTGAACATAACAGTTTATCTGTCCACTCACCCACTAAAAAACAATTTGGTGGCTTCCACATTATGGCAAGGTGAGTAAAGCTGCTATAAATACCATGGGAATGTTTTAAGTGGACATAGTTTTCAACTCCTTTATGTAAATGCCCATTGAAAGATAAATGTGTAGTTTTGTGAGAAACTATCAAAATGTCCATTAGAGTGGTTGTCCTATTTTGCATTTCTAGGAGCAATATATGAGATTTCCTATTGCTCTACATCTTTGACAGCATTTGGTGCTATCAGTAGTTGGCATTTTGGCTTTGCCTAATAATGTGGCATCTCGTTGTTGTTGTTATTGTTTTTGTTTAAATATGATTTTATTGATTTTTTTTAAGAGAGAAATGAAGGGAGAGAGATTGTGAGATACAAAGATCCATGGTAGAGAAATGTTGATAGGCTGTCTCCTACATGCCCCCATACTGAGGACTGAACCTATAACCCACACATGTGCCCCAATCAGGAATCCAACCATTGACCTCCTGGCTCATGGGTTCACACACAACTACTAAGCCAAACCAGTCAGACTATTTAAATTTAAATTTCACTGAGACACTACCATTGAGAGCACATTTTCATATGCTTATTTGCCATCTGAATATCTTCTTTTTCCTATTTTAAGGTCTTTGGCCCATTTTTTAATCAGTTTGTTTTCTTCCTGATAAGTTTTCAGAGTCTCTATATAGTGTGGATAACAGTCCTTTATTAGATGAGTCTCTTACAGATATTTTCTCTCAGCCTGTGGCTGGTCATCTCATTCTATTGGCAATGTATTTTACAGAGCACAAGTTTTTAATTGCAATAAAGTCCACCTTACCAATTACTTATTTCATGAATTGCGCCTCTGATGTTGCATCTAAAAAACCATCACCATGCTCAAAAGTCATTTAGGTTTTCTCCTCATATCGTCTATACATTTATACTTTTGTGAGTTGCACTTATAATTAATTTTAGGTAATTTTTGCAAAGGATGTAAGGTCTATATCTGGATTCAGTTTTTGTCACATGAATGTCCACTTGTTGCAGCACCTTTTGTTGAGGATGTCTTTGCCCCATTGTACTAGCTTTGCTTATTTGTTAAAGATCTATATCTGTACTCTCTATTCTGTCCCACTGATACATCTGTCTATTTTTTTGCCAATGTCAACACTAAAAGTGAACTCTAAAACAAACTTTTGCCATTATATGTTTTATGGGTTGAATAAATGTATACTGACATATAACCATCATTGTAATATGATAGAGTATTTTCACTGCCCTACAAATCATCTGTGCCTATTTATCATCTCTGCCCTCTCCATTACCCCAGAAACCACTGATCTTTTAATTATCTCCATATCTTTGCCCTTACCCATCCACAGACTTCCTGAAAGCATAGGTAAAATTTTACGTTTACTTTTCTTAATATTATCTCATAAGTATTTTACATATTGCCATGAAAGTATCATGAAAATAATTGTATATGCTAATTTAAAAAAAGAAACATCATGAGTTGAAGAGTACTGCTAAACAGGTAGGAATAATGTGCAGAGAATAAGAAAGTCTTAAGTGATTTCATTGAACATATTTGCTGAGTGTCAGTCTAGTCCACTGTATATAAATGAGAAACCAAAAGAAGAAAGATAGATTTGACTTTTACCTTGAATTGGACTGAGTTTTCACATTAACATTCCAAACCTTTCTTAGAAAAAAAAAAAGCTCCTATTTCAAAAATTAAAAATAATTGTACCTTTTTAAGATCCTTTAAATTCATTCCTTATGTTTCTTATTCAACATATATGAAGAACACATAAAAATACTAAGAAATAACATTAGGAATACATGTTCCTCCTTCAAGTAAAAATGGGGGGCAATGGAAAGAGTCACTTACTTATTGTATAATCTTTCTCTCTCTCTCTCTCTCTGGAGACTTCCTATCTACGTTTCAACTGAAGCACACTGGAAATGACTGCTAATGACACCTATCAGTCCCTGTCTTTTGTTTTCTTAATCATACATGGGTTTTAGATTTCCACATCAGACAGCTGCTCAGGGCCACCTTTTCTGTACAGCCAAAGACAAAGGTGTCTCCTTTCTCATCATACTGGCTGCGTTCCTTTCCAGTTCTCTATCAGCTCTCTTTACCTGATCCTTCACCCCTTTGGCACAAATTCCCAAGATGCTTTCTCTGATGGACACAGATGTCTCTACTAATTTTACAGTCACGATTCAAACATAACTAAGGTACTCACAATTGTATTACACAAGAGCTTTTCAATTTTAGACGTTAAATGCTTGCACAATCAAAACAACAGCCTCACAGACCAATGGAACAGAATTGAGAATCCAGAAACAAACCTACATGTGTTATGGGCAACCAATTTTCAACAAAGAAGCCAAAAACACACAATGGAGAAAATAAATAAGCGGTGCTGGGAAAATTAGAAGGCCACATGCAAAAGAATGAAACTGGACTGCTATCTGTCACCTTACACAAAAACTAACTCAAAATGGATCAAAGTCATAAGTATTAGATCCCATGAAAAAATAAAATATATAGGGGAAAAAATATATATGTAGTAAACTTATGGATCTTAGTGTCAGAGAGGACTTTATAAAACTACCATAACACCCAGCAATTCTCCTTCTGGGCATTTATTCAAAGAAAATGAAAACACATTTGAAAGCAATATGCATCCCTATGTTCACTTCAGTGTTTTTATCATCGTCAAACCATGGAAACAACCTAGGTTTGTTTTTGGATAAAGAAATGTGATACATACACTGGAATATTACTTAGCCATTAAAAAGAATAAAATCTTACCATCTGTGACAACATGGATATTATGCTAAGTGAAATATACAGAGAAAGACAAAAACTACCGTCTTACTAAACTACAGTAAAAAAAAAAAAAAAAAATCTAACTCCAGACTTCCTTCAGAATCAGTTCTTGCTGGAATTTTCATCTTTCTGGCCTGCCCTACAAATCTTAGACTTGTCCATTACCTTTTTCAAAAATTCCTCTCCCTCTCTATCTATGTATGTAGGTTCTATGCTTATTTCTGCCCATCTGGGCAGTAAAGTCTGAGGGTGTGGAGAAAAGGAGGAGGGAGAAACAGGCTCACACATTTCACCCAAGATTAGAGAGCGTCAATTTGGGGGGGGGGGGGGGGGGGGGAGTGACATTTGCAACATTTTTAACAATAAAGATTTAAAATTTTTAAATTCCTCATGTGTGATAACACAGTTACCTCAAGTATGTTATGATAATTTATTAAACAACTGCTTTAGAAGTACAACATAGCTACATGAGGAGAATATATAAGAAGAAACTGAGGCAATCTAGTACAAGGCTTGCTTAGTAATATGTGGAAAACGTGTTATGGGTTGAAAATTCATACCATGAAATTATTGTACTAAATAAGACATCAACAGAAACATAGGAATATTCTAATAATTGAATGCCAGGAAATATCAAAATGGTACATACTTGTTACAAAAAACTTTTTTGTGAAAGTACAGCTATCAAAGGCAGCAATTTTCTCCTGCAAGACTACAACAAGGATCCTAAAATTAGAAAGAAAGAAAGAAAGAAAATTTTTTTAATGTGATTGTGAAAGTCTATAGAATCATAAATGTATTAAATCATCTAGATTTAAACAAGTATCTATCTTTAAAACTTTAAAAAAAACAAAAAACAAGCATTTCTTATATAATTTAGGCTAGAAATAAATGCCTCATAAAAGGCAAAAATATAACCATAAAACCCTTAATAATCAAGATAGACATTACAGGAATAAAAGTGAAAGAGAACCAACCACATCTCAAAAAAATTTTTCCTCTGAACAAAATTTTGTCTCCACTCATTATAAATCAAATAAATCTATATTCATTAAGAATGTAGAATATCAACAAATTGCTGACTATTTACTAAAAGTGTTTTTTCCACTTCTGGCTCAAAGTTATGGAATTGAACATAAAATGGATTTATCTAATTTGTCACTTAAAATTATTGCTGAATTTCCCAACACAAAAGAAAAAGGAAAAAAAAAACCTCAGACAACTATTATTCAGTGCAAATGAGCCATTTCTGATTGACTCAATATATTAAAAGTTAATCAGATTCCACCGAAACCGGTTTGGCTCAGTGGTAGAGAGTCGGTCTGTGGACTGAAAGGTCCCAGGTTCGATTCCGGTCAAGGGCATGTACATTGGTTGCGGGCACATCTCCGGTAGGGGGTGTGCAAGAGACAGCTGGTCTCTCACTCATCGACGTTTCTAGCTCTCTATCTCTCTCCCTTCCTCTCTGTAAAAAAAACAATAAAATATATTTAAAAAAAAAAAGTTAATCAGATTCCGTATAAACTATAAGTTCTCCCAGAGATTTACAAATAATTAGGAAAATAATTTAGTGATAAATTTGCTTAAACTGAAATTCCTAAAATACAACCCAAATAAAGTTATATTATAAACTACATTTTAGAACTGTTCCTTGCAAAGACATTAAACAGGCAAAAAGTTTTTAAAAATCAAATAAAGATTATAATGATTGGCAAGTATTTAACATACTGGTCTTTGAATAATTAGATATATCAAAGGATAATTACATTATGCCAACAACAATGTATTCCTCCTATTTATAATAATAAAAGCATAATATGCTAATAAGACCGAATGGCCTTCCAGAAGATCTTCCAGACGAAACTGGGGCAGCAAGGGAAGCCCACATCTCGGGTGTCTGAAGGCAGCCCCAGATGCCAGCGGTGCTGACAGCCAGGGGAAGGAAGGTCTACTCTTGCACAAATTTCATGCATCAGGCCTCTAGTTTCCTATAATTTTTGAGTTTGACATTACTGAAGTTGAAATATGCATAATTAGACCTTCAATATTAATTGTATACTATCACTGAGTTTTTCTTTGCCTGTTTCTTTCATTCAAATGCTTTTACATTAGTATCAAAGCCAATGTGTTCTTTATATTTATCACTATTCTACCCTTCCTACTATGTCCAACCTTTCTGAGTCACTTTCTGAAATATTCCTTTAAAATCTAACCTGAATCTTTTATTATAAAATTTACTTCATATTGACACAGCACAAAATATTTCATTTTCCATGTTCTGTGTGTTTGCTTTATAATGCAATGGAAGAATTGTACTTTGCACCCATTAACTTGATCTAGACATTTACAATGTTTCAGTTTGTGCAAATGTAAAAAGTAAAGTGTTGAGTAACAGAAGATTCTTAGGGTCCCTTTCTCCTTCAATGTTTTCATTATTACCAGGTCAGGCAAAGGATCAACCCAGATCTAAAAATTTTCCTAGAGAATTTAACAAAACAGATGTTAATGAAGGGAAGCATTAGCTCAATTGTAGTCTTAAGGAATGAGGAAAAAAATCTTTTTTGCAGTTCACAGTTCTAAAAGGAAAACACATTTCATATCATAAACCAATAAATACAGAAGTACATACATCATAAATACTAAAAAGTTAAGTGATATATATAAAATCATTTCAAATAACCTTGGTGTGTTTGCTCAGATATGTTCTACTCTTTTCCATTTCATTTTTAAAACACTGGTTATAATTCACTAAATTTAATCCAAAATCCACTAATGAGTCAAGACTAAAAATTTGAAAACATTTGTTAAGAAATCTTCAGAGCTACTCCATTTAGCAGAATTCAAAAGGTGTTTTCTGCAATTTAAAAAAAAAAATCATAGGTAGTCAATTATATTGGCAGGGTTCCACATGCCCAGGAGATATGCTACTTTGTAAAAGAAATACATGAAAAAATTCTTACCGCTTATTGCAATGAAGATCATAGATAGGAGTTTTAAACTGAATGGACTTGACCATTTCCCCAGTACGAAGTGAATACAAATCCACACAACAATAAGGTGGGCTAGTGCTAAAAAGAAAGAAAAAAGACAAATGCCATTAGTTTTCATATGGTAGGTTGGCCAGTAAACTCTGTATTTTTGGGGTGAAAAGGTGAAGAGCTTGAGAAATACAGATTGGTAGTGACAAAATAGTAAATGTAAAGTATAACAAAGGAAGTATAGTCTATAATATTGTAATGTCTATGAATAGAGCCATGTGAGTACTAGAAATATCAGGGAAACACTTTTTTTTTAATATATTTTATTGAGTTTTTACAGAGTGGAAGAGAGAGGAATAGAGAGTTAGAAACATCGCTGAGAGAGAATCCATCCATCAGCTGCCTCTTGCACAGCCCCTACTGGGAATGTGCCCGCAACCAAGGTACATGCCCTTGACTGGAATCGAACCTGGGACCTTTCAGTCCGCAGTCCGACGCTCTATCCACTGAGCCAAACCAGCAGGGAAACACTTTGTAAAGCACATGGGTGTCTAGCCACTATGCCACAGACCTAAAACCAATATAAATAATACTGAATGTAAACTGTAAATGAAAAAAATTTTTAATTCAAAAAAATGTTAGTGAGAATGTGGAGAAAAGAGAACCCTTTTGCACTGTTGATAGGAATGGGAACTGGTGCAGCCACTATGGAAAACAATATAACGGTTCCTCAAAAAAATTGTAATTTGCCCTAGCCAGTTTGAGTCAGTGGATAGAGCATCAGCCTGCAGACTGATGGGTCCCAGGTCAATTCTGGTCAAGGGCACATGCTCGGGTTGTGGGCTAAATGCCCAGTGGGGGTGCATGCAGGAGGCAGCCAATCAATGATTCTCTCATATCATTGATGTTTCTACCTCTCCCTTTCTCTATGAAATCAATAAAAAATTGTTATTTGGCCGAAACCGGTTTGGCTTAGTGGTAGAGCATCGGTCTGCGGACTGAAAGGCCCCGGGTTCGATTCCGGTCAGGGGCATGTACATTGGTTGGGGGCACATTCCTGGTGGGGGGTGTGCAGGAGGCAGCTGGTCGATGTTTCGCTCTCATCGACGTTTCTAGCTCTCTATCTCTCTCCCTTCTTCTCTGTAAAAAAAACAATAAAATATATATATTTTTTAATTGTAATTTGTTATTCGTAACAAAAACAGTTAAATGTTGATCAATAAGGAATGGATATATTGTGATATATTAATGTAAAGGGATGTTTCTAGAGTATTACTCAGCAATTTAAAACAACAAATTATTTATACAATAGAGATGAACCTCACACCATTATGAACTATTAAAAAAAAAAAAAAAAAAAAGGAGGGGGGGGCAGGGGGAGCCAAGACATAAAAGTTTACATACTGTGTGAGTCCCTTCCAATGAAAAACTAGAAAGGCAAAACTATAATAGGAAGCATATCAGTGGTTTCCAGTGACAAGGGAAGGAGGGAAACTATATAGTATAAAATGGCATGAGAAATTTTGGGGGAGTGATGGAAATATTGTTGTGTTGTGATTATATTGGGTATTCACACAACTGTATACAATTGGCAAAACTGGGTCAGGGAGAGGAAAATCTAGTAAAACTTTAACTTCAATCTCTAAAATTAACACAAGGCAAAAATTCTTCTCTTGATGTTCCCAATAATTAAACCAATCCTCTGCTGAGAAGCAATGAGTTAATAATAAACGAAATTTAACATTTTGCCCGACCAACTGGGTAGTTAAAAGCAGCTTGTCACATTCAATTAGCCACTCACTACAGCTACTGGTACACAGAAACTTGAATTCTGATCATTTCACTGGCATAATACACTGTCACAACTGAGATTGTTCCTACAGAAAGCCTCCCATAGAGGTAGACAAAATAAATGCAATGAAGGCTGTTTATAGAGTTGACTTTATAAGACTTGATAGAACTAAAAATTCTATTGGTATGTGCAAAACTCTGCTTATTCAATGCCTAATAGAATAAAGATAATTCTTTAAAATAAGAGTTTTCAGAAAGTCACACATTCTGTCAACAACGTAACTGTATACGCTTGTTCTCTACTTTCTCTCTTTTCAAAAGCCTTGACCATTTCCCTGGGACACAGTTCAAGACAATCTTAATTGTCCTCATGGGTAAGCTGACAAGAAAGCTCTCCATAACATCAGCAGTGAGCATGCCCCATAACAGGAAGGGTATGTGTTATTATATACTGAAGCATGCAGATATGACATACAAAGCTTTTACTTAGTACTCTCGTATACCCTAAACAGTGCCCCAGAAAATCAGATAATTAAAGTTAAATATCAGCAGAATGAAAATAAAGAAAATTAAAACAGCTTATGGTCAACACTGTAAATCAATTAAGCTTAACCAACTTACATAAGACTCCACCCAACAAAAGCAGAATACTCTTTCTTTTGAAGTGCCCACAATTATATTTAAGCATGGGCACCTGTGATCTATTCCATTCTATCACACTCCAAAAATCTAGTTAAAAGTCTTCCTAAACCATATATTTCTGATCACTTATTCAGTTTCAGAACCTATCAATGACACCAGCCCTAGCTGGTTTGGCTCAGTGGATAATGCGTCAGCCTATGGACTGAAGGGTCCCAAGTTCGATTCCAATCAAGGGTATATGCCTGGTTGTGAGCTTGACCCCCAGTAAGGGGTGTACAGGAGGAAACTAATCACTTATTCTCTCTCATCATTGATGTTTCTCTCTCTCTCTCTCTCTCTCTCTCTCTCTTTTTCTATCTCTCTCCCCCCCACTCTAAATCAATAAAAGCATTTTTTTAAATGACACCCCAATGCCACAGAATAAACGTTAACCTTTTATCTAAGCAAATAAAGCCCCCATAATATGAAAATTGTTTTAAATATTTTAGTGTACATTTTCTTCTTGTATTCTAGTTCATATACCATAGTGGCTTTTTTTTTAAAAGGGACAGAGAGACAGAAACTTTGATGAGAGAGGAACATCGTCAATCAGCTGCCTCCTGTATGCCCTCACCAGGGACTAAGCCTACAACCTGGGAATGTGCCCTAAAACTCAAAGGGAATCCAATCATCAACCTCCTGGTTTCTGGTCAGTGCTCAACTGCTGAACCACACTGGCCAGGCCATTAGTGACTTTTCTACTCATGGTCCTCTATTCCACCCCCATCTTCAGACATCTAATGATTCTCATCATTGAAGTTTCTATTTCGCTCTCCTCTCTTTCTCTCTGAAATCAATAAAAGTATTTTTTTAAAGTGGATTCTCTTCCAATCAAGCCTTGAAAGCATCCTTGTAAGACCCAAAACTCAGGACCCAGTTTGTCCTTCTGCCATTGTACTACTTCAAAATAACATCGGTTGCCTTTAAATTTCAGCATTGTAACTGAAGTTATAATTTACTGTTTATATTTTAATCTAATTAATTTATTTACATAAAGTAGATTATGGGCAATTACATTAAACTAATACACTTTTACATAAATTTTAAAAAATTTTATTAATATAAACTATTCTGAGACAAATCTCAGAGGGTGTCTAGTTCTTCAGTTCTTCTAATTTACTTTTTTAAAGCAACAGAGACAGTTTACAAAATAATAAAGCTGGAAAACTACTGAACATCAAATATTTTAAATTTAAAAAAGTTATTTTAATCTTCATAAGTTATATCAATAATTTGTTCTTAATGAATTGAGGTTATACCATTAAAAGGTTTGACCAAATGTACATAACCACATCATTTGGTTGAGTGATCATCAGAATTCTCAATCCATTACTTCAGAATTCTTTTATATATAATACAAATAATACTATACATGTTGTAAACATGAGGAAATATTCTGACAGTCTGTTTCAGATCTAACAATTACTACTTTAAAAAAGTCAACAATACAATGAGGTCAAGACAAATGAACCACTTAAAGGACTCTGAATTGGAACTGAAATTAAGCTTTTTAAATATGTACAGCTAAATATTGCTGCTGAAGTACATCTTTTCATGTTAGAATTAATAATCCCTTTTCTATGTCAAAAACTAGATTATTAAATTCTAAAAAATAATAAATGACCCAGGTATCTTGAGCCTTTTGTGAGGAGTTAGTATAATGTTGAATACTTTTTTTTTAATATAGATTTTATTGATTTTTTACAGAGAGGAAGGGAGAGAGACAGAGAGCCAGAAACATCAATGAGAGAGAAACATCGACCAGCTGGTTCTTGCACACCCGCTACCGGGGTTGTGCCCACAACCAATGCACATGCCCTTGACCGGAATCGAACCCGGGACCTTTCAGTCCGCAGACTGATGCTCTACCACTGAGCCAAACCGGTTTCGGCAATGTTAAATACTTTTGCATTATTTGTGTATAAAGAAATGATGATGGATCTTATGCTCTATCTTTGAAATGTAAATACGACCTAAAAACAGTATATTCACTAATTTTTTTATGCTATATGGGGGGGAAAGAAGTTACAAAAAATACAATATTAAACTCCTATACTCAAATTTATAAATATCTAAAATATTTCAATTTCTAATCTCAGTCTAATTTTTATAATAATATGCTTTTTTAAAAACCTTTTTTAAAATATGATTTTATTGATTTTTAGGTAGAAAGGGGGAGTGAAAGATAGAAGCACCAATCAACCTCCTCCTGCATGCCCATGTACTGAGAACATAGCCCTCAACCTAGGCATGCCCCTGACCAGGAATTGAACTGGTGACCTCTTAGTGCATGGGATGATGCTCAATCCATTGAGCCACACCAGCTGGGTAATAATAATATGCTTTTTGCTTTATATTAATATAATTTATTAGAATCATAGCCATTTCTTATCCTGGACAACGTTTTCAAAATAATATTCTTTGTAATGCAATACAATGAGCATCACCTTAAAGCAATGTGAAATATGGCTTTTATGATTTGAAAATTCTAAACATTAATACCGTTTTCCTTTACAAACACTTTTATTATTTTTATTCATGATATTTAACAGATTGAAACAAAATTAGAAAAGCGGAACAAAGTATCTGAGAAAGTGACATTTTCCAAGAATGTGCAT